ACAGAACATAAGACAATACATTATATGTTGAGACACAGAACATAAGATAATTATATCAATAACCTTTAACTTTAATGTTAAGTTACTTCTGGGGCACAAAGGTGTGTTTTCCACATCAATGCCATTAAATGGTTCTCAATAAAGCCATAGATGTAGATAGCAGATGGCAGATTCTGGATTTGCAATGTGTGTGCATGTGCAAAGCGTGATGAACATCATTAAAAGTTGGTTCCCCAGTTCCCAGCCTGGGAGCATGACTCCTGAAGGGTTCACATGATCAATCTGAGGTATTGGCGTTTTCTAATTTTGGTTTGATGTCTCTCTTGAGAAACACCAGATATGTTAACCTCATTTCCTCTAAAAGGTTTCACAATGAAAAGAAAAGAGAGATCCCCGTTGAGTTGAGCTGCCCACAACAACATGCAAACTGTGAGTATGTCAATCGGAGGAAAATGTTTGTTTTAAACTTTAAAATGTTTGGAACTTGTGAACACTTTCAACTAACTTTTTAAATGCATCGGACATCAATGACATCATTTAATTTAATAAAATGAATAAAACTCAGAAAAATACACAGAAAAGTGGGAACAACAGAAATCTTAAGGGACTTGCTTTTTTCAATTTTTGTTTCAGTGATCATATTGGAAACGCCGCAAACAAATCAATACATTTGTACATCTTCATACAAAATCTATCACATTTTAATGCCATGCAGTTGCACCATTTAACAGTCTATCGTCAGCGTCATTGAGCTGCAGCAGTCCAATCAAAACCTCAACATTCAGCAATCGAAATGGTTATATTCTGACTCCGAGTCTGTAAATTTAATGTGCCCTCTTTTCACCTGCAGATTATTCCCATCATGCAGCACATGACTCAGAGCTCAGTCATACAGGCTTACACAAGTCAATACAATTATAATATAGTCGCCAGTGTGGTATCATATAACCAACAAACATAAAAACTAGTTCTTCAAATGATGCAAATATCAAATAATTGAAAGCTAAATAAACTACAATGATTGTCCTCTTGAAGCATCTTTTCTTTAAGTTGCATGGACAAATGCTTTGACCGAGACAATGAGCCAGGTTGAGTATAAAACCTGTTATATTTTGTGAACGTTGTCTCCTATACTGCATGTGTTCAGACATTCATGCTGTTTGTAAATGGAACTAAACTAAACTATAAGAAACAGAGATTTCAAAGGCCAATATTTAGAAAACGTTTACTGTTTGAAATACATATATGTAACAGCAAGAAGCTTGCCGATGAATGATCTGTACTAAAATTTGAAAAATAAAATCAACTCTTTCTAACTCTGAGGGCAATTAGGACCTAATACGCATTACATGTGATCTGCAACAACTTAACAAAACTCCTCCTGTGGCCTCGTTTATGTGGACATTATAACTTTCCTAAAAGGGGCCCCTGGGGCCGGCCAGTGAGTAAAATTATAGGATGGGCAGGCTAATACAAACCCATCCTTTTCAGACAATTCCTCTGACCAACTTAAAAAACCAATGGCAACCTCTAAAAGCCTGTCTTTGTCACCCTTAAACCCCAAGATGCCCTAAAACACCATTGTGCAGTTAAACCTCATAAATTTGTCGCAGGGACTGATTAAACATCACGGGAATTGAAACACTAAAGATTTTGTCTCGGTCCCGTTTGGATCCGGGACAATGGTCCATTCACGGGGAGACACGCAGACAAAAAGAGTGTTTAAGGGGAGATGCAGCAAGCTGAGGGGTTCGGCCAGTCCCCTCCATATGTGATACAAGGTGGCCTCAGTGAGAGGGACAAAGGACCAGGTGACAGGGACGATGGGCTGCAGGGTCACAGGACGAGCAAACAACATTATAGGGGGCGTGAAAGCAGAAGACCCCCCTCGTCACTGATGAAATACTGACACGATTTTAAACACTGAGGCATATTTTTCATAGTGAAATATTTAAATTGGAGCAAAGACGGATACGTAACTTTTACTTTGATAATATGATCAAAGGGGCAGCTTTTCTATGAATCTGTGATCCCTGGAGGTCACTTCACTGTTGGGGATATTTAACAGCACAAATAAGTGTCAATGAAACATTAACACTTAATAATGCTGTAAAATATAATGTGTCTTGTAATAAACAGCCAAACATCAATGAAAACTTGTCTTTTCCTAAAAGGAAAACCCTTCTGCTCCTCAACTGCACCTGTTCAGTTATCTAGTCAGATATTGATGACTAAAGCTGGAAGATAGTTGATTATCCAGATTTAATTCAGAGCTTGTTGCACCCTTAACAAATCATATCCTCTTCAAACCTACAGTACACAAACCAAGATCTCCACAAAAAGCCTGAGTCTAACAGACGTATTTATCCCACTCGCCTCAGAATAACTAAAGTGAATTGTATAAAAGTGAAAGCAGCCCAGACAACAACAGGGTGCTGTGAAAGAGGCTGTAATGTTTACTGGGCATTCTTATGTTTAAACCAAATCCAGTCCTTTTTAGAAGTGATGTTTGCTCAGCTTTTGGGTGCATAATTAGTTTTTTAACATTATAAAAGCCTCCAAGCTCCTGTCATGACCTCCTACATATTTTACATTCTACAAATGACATATGTTTTGGACCGTATTATGATTTAAAAAGCATTGAACAGCCATACTCAAATAAGGAGAAGTAAGAAAAATAAATACATTTAACTTAAAAATGCAAAACAAAGATTTTTTAGATAGATTTTAGTTTGTTTGTTTTCAGAAATTGAGGCTAAACTTGAAAATAAGCACATTACAAAGTAAAACGTATCATTCAAAATATGAGAAACCTTTTATTAATAATTTCGTTCACAAAAAGAAACAGTTTAAACAGTTAAAAACTTTAAAGAAAGTCTCCTCAAAGACAAGAAATAACATTATTTTCCTTCAAACATTCAGGCTATAGTGGCTTCTCTATCACCGCCTAAAGCCTATACTGTAAGTCATGTATACAAATATTATGTTTCAACAGCTTTACTCACAAATACATTATCTCACTGGATCATTACAAATATACAGGCTACACCAGTAAGCCCGAGTTTGAGAACATTGTAAAAGCATTTTAAAATATTGTAAATTATCAAAATAAAATGTGCAAAATATTCTTCGTTCTATTGTGAAAAACTAAATGTTTAAGTTGCTCGAAAATTTACAAAAACATTCAGACAACATTTGATGCCATTCTAAATGAGTTTGTGCGTTGAAATGAGGCCTTCACTTGAAAGAGTTAAAGTGGACTGAGTCGCTCCAAAAGTCCCTCCAGGCGAATCTGGAGGCCGCCGCGGTGGGAAAGTGCTGGTGATACCTTGGAGGAAGAGCGACGGGGGACGGCTGCTGCAGAGACGGGTAGGCTAAGGGGAAAGGTATCGCCTGAGAATGAGGTAAACAGCCAGCTTTCTCCGTGTCAAGTAAGCAGGTGTGAAAAGGTTTCCCATCCCGGACCAGGATCGGAACAACGACCCGGCGCAGCACCGGAGGCTGCAGTATCTCCAAGTCGTGTAGCGCTCCCTCTGCCCGGCCTCTCTTCATCTTGTAGCGGTGGTTTTGGAACCAGATCTTCACCTGGGTCGGGGTCAGGCTGAGGAGCCGGGCCAGCTGCTCCCTCTCCGGACCGGACAGGTAGCGCTGCTGGCGGAAGCGCCTCTCCAGCTCCAGGGTCTGGGCCTTGGAGAACAGAACGCGGCGCTTCTTGCTCTTCTTGCTCTTGTCGGGCTCCGAGTCCAGGGACGAGTCATCCGGCTTGGTCGAGTCAGGGGAGGCCCCGAGACTACCTTCGTCAGAAGCTGCAGAGATAAATAATGCTGGTTAGTCCAAATTCATATAGAAATAATGTGATACTACGGATTTTATCCTCCCTTCAGGACGTTTATCTGTCCATCTGTCCATCTATCCATCCATCTGTCCATCCATCTGTCCATTATCTATATGTTCCTAATAATTAAAAAATAAAGCTTAAAATAAAAACAATACCTCCGGACGAGGCCGCATCATGTTCTAATAGGCTATCCAGATCTAACTATATGGATAAATATTCATTATGATTTCAAAAAGAACCTACAATCCTAAAATATAATATATAATATATATATATATATTTCTAGATTAGGATAGATCAGTGATATGCAGGCACTCACATATGCACGGACTCCGGTCGCAGTCCATCCAGGAGCTGTACGGCGAGCTGGAGGAGCAGGAGGAGTAAAGCGGGGAGGACCGCGGAGCTGCCTCCGCATCCAGCTCTGGCAAATCCAGGATGCTCCTTACGGAAAAACTGAACTTGGTCGGGGTGGCCATCGCGTCCGTGCGTGCAGTCCGGGGTTTGTTTTGCGTTAAAAGTAGGCTAGATTTATCCAAGGAGGAGAAGAAAAAAAACGCAGCGGATCCTCTCCACTTTACGCGCAGTCCAAACAACAGCTCGGAAACCAATGTGTGCACTGGGCTCAGTGTTTACACAAACAGCACTCCATAAGCTGCAAACACAAGGCTGCTCCGTTTATAAAGCCCCCTCCCACCGATGAGTACCTGAATGGCCGGAGTGCTGTCACCCAATGATGGTAGGTGCAGAATAAGAAGAAGAAAAAAAACCTTCAACAATGAGCGAAGGAAACACTCGTCATCATTACAGATTCGTCCCGTATCGTCAAACTGGGAAACAGATAATGGGAATTGTTGGAGCTGAAACACGTCTTGGGTGGCAACTGACAACAGAGCCCGTCCCATCATCAAACTCCCCCCTCCTCCCCCTTGTTCTCGCCCAAACAACGTGTCCAACATTTGCATACAAAGTGAGCAATTAGCGTGATGCCTGCGAGTTGGTTTAACTAATACGTCCATTAGAGGCGTATTAATTGCAGCCGTGAGAAGTTTTGACGTTTATGGATGGTGGCGGAAATTTCCTTTGACATATTTAGGGGAAATGCTTTCCTTTTGAGTTTTGTGGATGATTTATGATTATATGACCATTTTTTTTAAATGGTAAAACTTAACGCTAACATTTAATAAATGGTTTATAAGATAAATATACACACAGATACATGTTTATTAATGTATTTGTCCACAGCTATAACTCCTCCTGTGGGCATCAATCAGTGAGGGCTGGTGTACAAACACAATAAATAAGATATATTAGATATAATATTAAACCACAGATGTGACATGTCTTAATATGAGAAGTTATAAACAAACGTCTATAGTGTTAAACACATTTACAATACACATAAATGAATATAGATTTGATACAAAAACATGACAATAATTGAATTACAGAGGCAAATAACTCCAAACACGGCTGATTTAGCTTCAGACAGATTGGAGCAGTGACGAGATTTTATTAATTGGTAGCTAATCAAGATAAATGATTGGTAATTCATCATGCTTCGCGCGCAGAACTCAGAGGAAACACTGTGGCTTCTCGTGTATTTTCTTGGTTTTTATCTCCTTAATTTGACATCGACGGCTTTAAAATACTGATATTCTCATAATAAAGGGGTCCGGTCGTTCTCTACCCAATCTGACGCCCACAGGCTGATATCTTGGCTCTTTTTGTCGCTCCACACATATAAAACGCATTAAATGCAAAGTGTGAATCCAGCCTTATGTGGGGGCTTCTCTCCCCCGTCCACCGTATTTGATATTGATATCGGCCCTCATCCACTTCAGCGAGGTGCATGAGGCCGAGGAGGAGAGTGGCGGTGGACATGCCTCCCCAGTCGTCCTGGGTGGTCGGACGAGAGGGAACACAAATACATGCCAACCAGAGGAGGGGAACAAAAGGGGAAAATGTAGCCCCGCGTCCGAGACCCGTTGGAAGCATTTGTTCCAGTCAAGATTTTGCATTTGTTCAGTCCCACAATAATGCCTGATTGACGCCCCGGCACAATGTCCTTTAACTTTGCAGGATAAATCCGAGCTTGTTCCGTGTTGTCATGGTTTTGAATGGAACTGAATGGGATCTGGGACACTATCTACTGGTCTGCGTCTACTGCCGCCAAGCCTATGGTACTAAGCAATATTACATGTGTGATTCAGGACGTATTAAATTCCTGTTAGATTTTCAAAGTTCAACAAATTCGGTGACCTGTATTATCAGCCCAACATACTCCAGGATCAACATTGATCTACAGTTACGCACATTACGCACAAGTTGCAAAACAAACACTATTACGGAACCTTTAAGATGAAATGTGATATCACTGAGAGGACTGACACCCGCTTTAAGCATCATGTCTGTTTACACACCAGCCTCCCGGCGGTTGACAAACACCAGGGGATTACAGTAGCGCAGGTTTGCTGCTGGAGTGGATAGTTTACAGAGGGCACTCGATTGGAGAGCGGAAACACGCAAAGGCAAAGAAAAGTCATGTCCAAAGAGCGGGAATTTCTCTGTCCACAATGACCCAGCAGCCACTTAATCTATTTAACACCCGCAGGCTTCAGCCAGAGAGGGTCCTCTGCAGCTCCCAAGAGCTCTCCACTGCCAAATATTGACTCTGTTGTTCAGCTCTCCATTCCCCATCCCCTTCTCAGCCAAATGGAGATTTGTTTCTCACATGGTTCTGGATTAAGCAGCTGAACTGACAGTTTTAACATTTCAGCCCTCAATGAATATTTTGTAGACTAATAAACTTGTAATCCAACACTGATTTACTCTATTCTTGAAATCATATATAAAACTTTAGGTGTTTAATCTCCCTTCAATGCAAAGTGTTGTTAATCTTGGATGTTTGAGCTTCACAGTGCAGAATAATGTTTGTGCCGAGTTTGACACTTTTTTTCACTTTAATCCGCTGAAAGGGAAAAGATTGTCTTAAAATTTCATTTCAAGACATGAACGAGTACAACCTTTTGACATTACAACTAATTTGAGAGCCAATCATGGCTCAATCGGTGGGATGAGGAGACCTGAAACCTCCAGTACACAAACACACAATAAAAACTGTCTAAAGTGTCTAAAAGTTCAACTTTAAATTGAAAACATTTGCATTCATAGATTCTGAAGTAGAGTACTTTATTCTATGTCTTCAAACATTATGGAGGGGATCTTTAACAATCAGGCAATTTCTAAACTGTTGTGTCCACACAGTGACTTAACTTGCAGCATCTATTAGATGTTCACTCAAAATGAAGGAAGACTTTGCAGACCTTTAGCCCTTTGCATTTCTAACATTTTTGTGCGCATTTATAAATATAAACATACTTTTTGTTGGTTCTTTCTGCTGCAGGAAGACAGCATAAAAGACAATCCCACATAGGAACACCACCATTAAAAGGAAGGGTACAAAGAAACCTCTACCTCTAAATGTAAACAACATTCAACAAGAGTATAAAAAACAAACATATCTATCTATCTACTTATCTTCCAATAATACTGCATTTATACTTGTTTACTTCCATTAATACTGCATTTATACTTTTTTACTTACATTAATACTGCATTTATACTTGTGTTATATATCGTAGCATTGTGTACATAATTAACATTTTATTTTACAAAGCACTTTATTTATATTTTACATAGTCCTTTATTTCTTTTTTTCTTATATTTCGTTTTGCTTATCAATAAGAGCAACTGTAACGTACACATTTCCCCCTGCGGACCAATAAAGTTAGCGATTCTGATATGAAAATGTATTTTACGACAGGATTTATAATGTGAGACTGTTTCAAAGCCGAGGTGGCACTACAGCATGAAATCGATGCAGCACAACCAGAGATAGTCTTTTTTAAATTCCAATTATTCTTATATCTTAACGACTTAACAACTACATTTCCCACAATGCATCGTGACCACTGACAGTTTGGTCGGACATCCAGATGTGTTATATTGCTGTTTGCAGCTAAAGTAGCCTCGAGATGAGCGGAATATAGACACTCACTTCTTTGTAATCCACACCCAAAGATTTATTTTAACATTATCAAACTTGTAGTCTTCAGTGCAAGGTGACGATAAATTGCCTCAAGTGACATCACATAAGGAGATCAGATTCACGCAGCTCCCTCAGCAACTAAAGGCTTTATGCAACTTTTTACACAAATGCAGTGTCACATCCCTGCAACACCTGCAAGCAGACGATGATGTGTGACAATTGGTGGAGTTCTCCTTTAAGTTGAATAAGCAAACAAAGTCCAGCCTCAAATACATGTGAATCTTCTTCTAGTCTGACTTTTATTGTGACGCACTTGACTCAACTTGAGTTTTGAAAAGTGCTGTATAAATAAATCTGTATTACTTAAATCATCTAACAGATCATATCACAGATCATCTAAGTCAGGGTCCTTAAACCAAACACGCACAACGTCCCCACAATGTCCTCTACTTTACTTGTGTTATCCATGCTCTAAACACTATGTGTTGGCTCAAATTAGAACCTAAAGCCAGGATGTTTATCTGATCTCAGTCTGACCGGTTATCCATCACATATACACCCACAATGACCCCTCTGTTGGCTCCTCAGTGCAGTTATGGTAGCTCAGTGTAGCATGATGCTCCAGCAGCTGCACCTGCCGCTGGTGTCCTCTCCCTCTCAGTCCTGTAAATACCATAAGCATTTCGGAGAGGGGCTACAGGGGGATAATGACTTGGCAGCCACATCTCTCTCTATGCAGTAAACTGAGGTCTTGTGAGGCTGCTTGATCATGTAGCAGCTGTGTGTGCTGCTTAGTGAAAGTGTGTCCAAAATAAGTCAGGTTTGTTTATACGGTGCTTTAAGGCACAAAACTGAGTGTGTACCTAACGAGATTCTCAATAAAGGAGTTACAAAACAGGGGAAAGTGGGACATCAACAGGAAAGTAGACTTTAAGAGCAACGGCACTTGAAACATGTCACACACGTAGAAAAGAGAATTCTATCCCCCATTTTTAAGCACTTTAAAGTTCAAATAGTTTGATATTTTGAGAGAACTTTTCATGTCTTTAGAAATTGTATTTCAGACCAAAAATAAATGATCAGTCCTTGCTCTGATTAGACACATAGCATGTGATGAAATATTAACACTTCATTTTCTTTACTCAATAAGAAAAAACAACAACAGCAAAACATGCAAAAGTTTCTTATAAATAATGAAATAGGTCTTACCTTTGAGTCATAGTCTGTCAGCGTTGATAGGAGTCACAGTAAGTTGATCACAGTAATGTTGATGTGATGCTTTGATAAAATGTGAGATCACTTACATGTATCTTTAGAAGATCTGCAGCTCCAGATGATGACCAGTGTTGAACTTCCACAACAGAAGCGGCATCAATTAATACCGTTTTTTGAAAGTAGCAACATTAGCAAAAGGGCTACAATAATAAT